CCCCCAGCAGTTTGCAAGCATCATTTCATTGTTTCCTGGCTTTGTGAAGCATATTCACCATGTACTGGTATCAATCTCAAGGAAGGACTCTAAACACTGCACTAACATCACTTCACTTGCTTGAGTCTGGTAACATAAGAAGTTAAGTGAAGCAACTTTTTTACTCATAGATAGGCAGCAGAGGATCATAGAAGCCCGGGATTCATGACGAGCTGGTTCGCTAAGCCTCAGGAAAGCTGTCCAGGGTGGATGGAGTCTCCTATGCATATATCCCACTTTTCAGCACAGCTAGGGTCCCTGAAGGTGTGTTCCACCCTGGGTTTTATACCAGAGGAAACTGGATTCATTGGGCTAAAGTGTTGCAGGAGATCTTATTCTCGGAGGGACTGGAACAGAGCCCAAGCTGTTTTGGCCCGTTCCTCCTTATCTCAGGCTGTTGCATTCCCAGCACATTCTATAGTTATTCTTGAGAATTCTAAGTGAGAAAAGAAAGTAAGAATTGGTCACCAAGGTCACTGGGGACATGTCCATCAGGTTTCAAATATTACTGTTGGGAATTCAGCTGTCAGTCTTATTGTTACTCTATTAAAGGTAATGTGTCCCACCACCCCTGCCCCAGCTGCTTTTAGGATTTTCTCTTTTACTTTGACCTTCAAAATTTTACTGTGTTTATCAAGGTTTGGATTTCCTACAGCCTGGCTATCTTCTTCTGGCCTGTCTTCCAGATAGCCATTATCTTTTTGGCTGCTGCTAAGCCCCATTCTTGAATTTTTAATTCCAATTGTATTCTTCTGTTCCAGCATTTATACTTAATTCTTTTTAAAAAGTTTAGTTAGAGATTTTCCATTTCATCATATAATATCTTGAACAAATTAATCTCAATTACTTTATAATCTCTGAAACTCAAATGTCTCAATTTTGTGTTAGTCTGTTTCTATTGTCCGTTCTTTTTTTGTCGGTTTTTGGCTGTTTAATCTCCTCTCCTAGCATGCTTAGACATTCATATAAGAGCTGTTATGCTAATCTGGAGTTTTGTATGATGTTACAGTTTTCCAGAGGACCTGTTTTGTGTCTGGCATTAAGTTGCCCTAGGGACAGATCACCTTAGTCAGACCTAGGATTGAGATGATTTGAAGGTAGGCAGATTTTGTGAGGTCGGATTTATTTTGTTCACCATGATGCCTAGGGTATAGCCAGTGGGAGTCCCAACTGAAAGCATACTGTGGTTACCAGGGCACCTTCTCTGTGGTGATCTTGGAACTCCAATTTCTGCTTCCCTCCCCACCTGAGACTGTCAATGCTCTGTCTAGTCTTTCAGTTGCTACTTTCTGATCTGGCGTTCAACCTTTTAGCTGTTGCTTTGAAACCTGTGAACACCAAGAGGACAAAAGCAGTGATGAATACTGGATTCAATTATCTGCAGTTTTCTCTCCAGGAATGTCCCCTCAAGTCCTCCTCAAGTGCTCCTCAGCTTGGTAGTTCTCTGAAGCCAACAAATACATTTTTAAAAGTATCTTGTCCGAGTGTTCTAGTTGTTTTCGGTGGGAAGGTGAGCCTTTAACAAACATTGCCACC